AAACCACCCCAAAAACCATAACCCTTACAAATGAAATAAAATAGAAATATATACAAAAATCTGGTCCGCACACGTCGCCCGACGACATAAAAGCGCCGCTCGACGACGATCCTTAAATACAAGGCCCAGGTTACGCCACGTACACAACTTGAGAAAAATATATACCCTCGCCCAGTAAAGGGAAGATTCGCCCGAAGACATCCTTATTTCTCGCCCAGCGAATTGCTGGAGAGCCCAAGTAAGTGGCTACTTCAAAAATGATGCTTTCCCTCTCGCCCCTCCGTCGCCCGACGAGGAAAACGCGAAGGCTCCTTGCCTAGGCTTCACTCGGTGAGGCACGCCAAAACAAAAACTTTTGTTTCTCTTCCTGAATAACTCCAATGACTCTTTCTTCTTGGCCTTATTCCTTTATTGATCCAACATTGCATTTTGGAGCTTTTATTCCTCTTGCTCCAACAATGCTCAAATACCTACAAAATGAATTTAAAAAATTCAATTAATACACTATGTACACAAAATTGCATTATACATAAACCAAATGTATTTATACACATAGTTGGGTTATTTAATTGATATTAACAACAAAGAGTCAATAAGTGCGACAAAAAGTATATACAAAAATAGGTACAATTTGCACTTATCAAACTCTCCCAAACTTGAACTTTTTTGTCACTAAACAAGAAACAAATACCTCGATGAAACAAAAACGATCAACCAAAGAGTCACGAATAGACAAGTTTTGAAAACGGAAAACAAATTCAATGGTTCAAACGAAAAACAATACACATAAAGTAAACACATACCACTAAACTACGACTATAACATATACACAAAACAAATGCTAAATACAAAAATCATGCCAAACATTCGAAAACAACACTAGTTCACAAATGAATCATACTTAGCAAAAACAATCATCAGTAGATGGCAAACACACAAATATGAGGTATTTTTACTCATCCAACAACCTTGCAAACAAAAGATTAAATTATACACCCATCCAAAAAATCATGTTGAAGACATAAAAGCAAGAATCATAAGGGTTTTTCAAGGTTGTAATGTGGCTTGGTTAACAAACAAGGGATAAGTCCTAAAGCTAATCGAAACAAAAACTTTCCTTAACCTAAGGGAGTGATAAACTCACAAAGAATCAAGCAACACATTTTCAATCAAAGTTCTTCTTCATTCCAAATTTCTCAAACAAATCACAATACTTATTCGCATAATAATTCAATTTTTTTTTTGTTCTTTCTTGTTCAAAGCTTTTTCAATTTTTTCTTTCTTTTTCTTTTCTTTTGTTTTTCTATTTTATTTATTTATTTATCTTTCTGAACCTCATGGAAATCAACCACAAGTGCACAATCATTTTTCTCCTCAACTTGAATTCAACCGACATTATTATGTGAATACTCCTTACTCTCTAAGGAAAGATAAAAATTCATACAACAACACAAAGTTGAGGGTTCAAGAAAAAATCAACAATCAAAATCCATACAAAAAGTGAAATCAATACTTATAGACAAGCATCAAATACAAAGAATATGAACACTGACAAAAGGCTCAAAGGGGTTACGGATGATCACAAACTCACAAGGAAAATTGGATATTTGGTTAGGTAGTTGTGTTTAAAATGAAACAAAAATGTCTTGATCCTATTCATGGTTTCATATAATTAACACGAACAAAAGATTAAGCATAATAAAATTTCGTTAGAACAAGAATTGTGGCTTCCAGCATATGTGAACAATGGAAACCTACCTCACAAAAAGGGTAGGAACTAAAGTGATTCACAAAAGAATAATTATACAAAAGAATGAATGGAATAAAATTGTAAAAAGTCTAAGTATCATGAATATGCTAAAGTATAGAAAGCGATAAACACATACCTCGAACGTGTACAAAACCTTAACAAAATTATTACCATGCATTCGCAAGTCGAAACGATCAAACTTGACAAATCTCATCAATTTCCTCAAGCTATTCACAATAAGCAAAAAGACAAACACAAATATGAAACAAATAATATACACATACGAAAAGACAGAATGAAATTGTCTAAACAAATTTAAAAGTGAAGATATGAAATTTAAGAACTAGTCCAAGTTAAATTTTTTTAGACAATTGTATTCAACTACCTAAGCTAACAACATGAAAAAAGTTAAACATGCTTGTTTTATGTCGTAAGCTCGAAGCCTATTATTTAAGAAATTTCCTCCAAGTTGCTTTCACCTGATTATTCCTAACCCACACACAAGCAAACGTGAAAGGAAACAATCAATGATATAATAAAATTTATAAGTATAGTAAACATCTACAAGTATCAATATACACAAGTAAAAATATAAAATATATATAATATCTACAAAACTAAAAAACAAAGGAATTATCGCAATGCTAAACAATAAACCAATCTCCGACAACGACACCATTTTGCTGAAGCTGTAAAGCGGCAAGCAAAAAGTAAAGTATTATTTTACCGGGTGATATATAGGTTATATTGTGTCGTGTCCATATAGATTGGTTATCGAGTCGCCAATCGATAAATCATTCGTTAATGAATTCGGGGGTTTGAATGGAAAGGGTAAAATTTATCAAAAAAAGTTAAATGTATAAAAAGGAAAAGGAAAGACAAACTTATCTTGTACAAATATACACTACTCTTCACAAACTTACACCTATCATCCAATTATACTCAACCTACAATACTCATCATTGTCACCACGTATAACTTATAACCTAAGTAATTTCTAACCCTAATTAAGAGGACGACTGTATCACCTCAATAGCGATCTCTGAACCACCTCAACAACACAGAAGTTAATCGTACTAATCGCGTCGACGATCTCTTATAGTGACACAACCAACACGGAGGAATTAATCACAGAAATCCAAGTGAATGTCATCTCTAAATATGTTTGTAGAATCCATAAACTAACAAAATATCATCCTAGATAAGAATTCAAGCAATATATGTCTATAACAACCCAAATCCCGAGCACGGAGCAAAAATTCAGGACAACAATCGACAAATATTTGTAAAGCAAGTTTTATATAATGCCATGGGCGATAAATATACATGAGTTCAAAGTAAAAATACATATGATACCCAACAAAAGAGAAATACATAGATAGAATAAGATATAAACCACAAATCTTTCAGTTTGTCAGTGTCGGTCGATGAGAAATCCACCTCTAATCATCTATAAGTAAAGCCCTAGTGTTGTTTTCTAAGCTAATCTATAAAAAATATGATGTTAATGGAATTGGGAGATCAAAAACCACCCCCAAAACCATAACCCTTACAAAATAAATGAAATAGAAATATATATATATATATATATATATATATATATATATATATATATATAAATCAGATACGCACGCGTGGCCATGCGACATAAAAGCTTCGCCCTGCAACGATCCTTAAATACAAGGCCCAGGTTGCGCCGCATACGCATTTGGATAAAAATATATACCCCCGCCTGGAAAAGTGAAGCTTCACCCGATGAAATCCTTATTTCTCGTCCAGTGGGCTACTGGCGAGCCCGAGTCATTGGCTACTGGAAAATGATGCTTTCCCTCTTTCCCCTTTGTCGCTCGGTGAGGCAGACACGAAGTCTCCTCGCCCGGGCTTCGCCTGGAGAGGAACACCGTAATAGATACTATTGTTGCTCTTCCTACATAACTCCAATGGCTCTCTCTTCTTGGCCTTATTATTTTATTGATGTAATAATGCATCTTGGAGATTTTATTACTCTTGCTTCAATAATTCTAAAATACCTACAAAATGAATAAAAATCTATCAATCGACACACTATGTATACAAAAACGCATTATACACAAACTAAACACACAAAGTTGGGTTATTCAAATGATATTAACAACAAAGAGTCGATAAGTGTAACAAAAAGTATATACAAAAATAGTTACAATTTGCACTTATTAAATGTGTACATGTAAGCTTCAACAACAGAAATTAGAATCATAGATCAAACTGCTTCTACAACAGAATAAAAAATAATCCTATATCAAATTGGTTCAACAACAAAAATTCTACTGTGTCACAATTAATCCTATATCAATATGTTTCAGCAACAAAATAAAAATGTATGCAGTATCTGCATAATCAAAAAAATCATAAACAAAATAACGTTATGCATAATAAAAAATTTGTAGCAAAATCAAATAGAAACATGAACAGCCCAATGCATTTGAGGTTTTTACAGTGTTGATAGTAGCTTTAGGTATATTAATTGATAATAGATTTTCATACATGTCCTAGTTAAGATAATTATTATGAGCAGTGCCAATATTGCATTAATAAACAAAGTTCTTGCTTTAAAACTTATCAATACTCGGTAGCCGAATCACACAGGAACATAAACAACACAATGCATATGAGTAAACCAGACACGACACTAGTGTAAAGGCAAAGACAACTATGTACTAAACCAATAAAGAAAATGTTCACATGATCTTCTTTTACTAAATAATGAAAGCATTCAACATTCAAAATCCTACTAAGAACTATTGGTACTTAAAATAATTTGCACAAATTCCTTCCTCAATTCAAGAGTATCCATAGTGAAAAAGCAATCACATAGATTATTGTCTTTGGTGACGATAAGCATGGCAGCCCTTACCACATCTGTAGCTGATAGACCTTCAATTTCTTTTAAAATAGAGACAACTATTTATTTGGTTGTTCAAAACTAATACGCAGTAACAATTATATAAACCAACAATACTGCTAACTACTAACAATTATATATAAACCAACAATACTGCTAATTGCTAACAATTATATATAAACCAATAATATTGCTAACTGCTAACTTCTAACAATTATATATAAACCAGTAATACTGCTAACTTCTAACAGAACAAGAGTACAGGGAGAATAGAAATTTATATAATGAAAATTTTTAATTGTACTCAACAATACAATTATGATACAAAAAATCATACTAAATAGAAAACATAAATAAGAAACACAAAATTTATCGATGATTTCCACTTCTCCATCTATTAAAGTTTTCCAATGCTAAGTTATCTCTCCATTGACTCCATGCATTACTTGGCTCCACAACAGTTATCATTTCGTCAGACATGAATTCGTTAGAGGACTCAACATCTCCTAAATCCATTTCCAATGGATCTCGTGTCATTTCTATTCGAATATGATTATGTAGAAGACAACAAGGTATTATAATTCTTATTTGATTTTTTAGAGGGTAGAATGACTTTTATCTCAATATAGCCCAAGGTCCCTTCAAAAGTCCAAAACATCGTTCTATTACATTTTTAGCTGATGAATATTTCATATTGAAAAACTCTTTAGGTGTATTCGGTTGTAAGCCATTCCTCCATTCACTAAGGTGATACCTTTGACCTCTATATGGAGTAAGAAAACCTTCCCTATTCATGTATGCATCATCACATAAATAATAATACCCTATCACCAATAAAACTAAAGTTATCATCCTATATATATGAAGGACGTGTTTTACGTTAATGTTAATTTAATTTTATATACCTTGAGGAAACCTTAGTCCATTTGGTGGAGAAATAACATCTCTAAGGACTCTAGAATCCGCTGTTGAACCCTCCCACCCAGGCAAGACATGTATAAATTGTAAATCTGGTGAACATACACCTAACACATTTGTCGCAATACCACCCTTCCTTGTTCTGAATCTACATTTATCAGCTTCAGGCACATTGACCTTGATGTAATTTCCATCAAGAGCTCCTAGACAAGTCTATAAATTGGCATTTGTACAAATGTTACTACTTCCAAATAGAAGATTAAGTTTCATACTATTAAAAAAATTATGAACGGTGGAATTTAACCTTAGAAGTATTTCCATCTTTCATCAATATTTTTATCCAAAATCGGTTGAGGTTGTTTTAAAAATTCCTTGTGGCCCTTCAGAAGAGCTGGTAAAAAATTCATGAAAGCCTACTAATTGTTTCACTAGACCTAACAAATTGTCTTCTAATCATTCTATTCTTAACATGATGAGGGAATATGTGTAAAAACATGGCCATTAACTCCTCAACGCACATATGTCGAGTAGGAACTAATCCACCAATACCTTTCAACATCTCACATAGTTCATGAAAAACGGCCCTATTCATCCTCGTATTCTCGGTACACACCACATCACTTGTGTAAATAATTCTTTGAAAATGTACTTCTCTGACTAAACTTCTTTCATAACAATCCCATGACCTTTTTCGCTTTTTCAAACGATTACTTAGAGAAAAATAGCATATCATCATTGTCATCAAAGTAAACAAATTCAACATCTCCAAGTAGATGATCAATATTGTAATTATCATTTTCTTCCTCTCAATAGCTTCCATAAAATGATCCATTACAAAAACTTAAATTACTTATCGGTGGAAAGTTACTGTACTACATTACTTTTTCAAATGAACATAAGTCAATTCAATAAAAATTATTAAACATGAATTATCATCAAATACATAGTATAGCGGTGAAAATCGGAGATCAAGCTATTAATTAACTTGACTCACAAAAGCAAAAGTCGCCACCCGCGCTTTATTATTTCCAAGGGAAAAGGGAAAAGAGCGAAATAAAACCCTAAAATATGCAATGTAAAGTAATATTTAAAAGTAATGAAAATACAATGCGTTTTTAAAAGAGATCGAGAGTTCGGGGGTTGGTTATACAATGGGAAGGTATTAGCACCCAATGCATCTGCGGTACTCCGCAGGAACCTTTTGAAATATCTGTTTTTTGGTTAAAATTGTTTGTTTGATTAAAATGGTTCGTTTGGCTAAAAATCGGTGTTGGAGAGATTTTGAAGAGACAACGACCTAATGTCGAAGTTTTGACTTAAAAGGTGTGAGTTTAAAAATTGAATCTTTTGGGAAAATTATCTTAGGTTTAACAAAATAGTAACAAACAAAAGATGAATGAGGGTATTCGCACGATCGGATGAGATGTATTTGATGACGTGAAGTCAACAAATTTAAATCTTTCCCTTGGAATTAAAACCACAGACGGATAAATAAGCTAAAAGTATATCAAACCTCAGGTGAAAATAAATCACAAGCCGACATCATCAAAGAAAACCTAATGTGAGATAATACTCCAAGCATCAGATAAAGCGCAAAGGCGGTGGATGAAGCTCACGGTGTCAGATAAGAATCCCTGCATCACAAGAGATATACCGACAAAGTCTAACAGCACGGGAAACTTATGTGCGTCCGCACAATTTTCAGAAGTTAGTTGGAATTAAAAATAAAATCACAATGCAATGAAAATAATATCTACATAGACGGAATTTATTTACCAATGAAATGAGTAAAATATACAGTAAAAAATATTATGTACGAGTATATTTACAATATCAAATATTAAATCAAAATAGTAAGGTAAAAAAGGAATAATAAAAAAGTATAAATGCGCTATGCGAGAACGAACACTTGAAACAGTTCTCGGAAACCTTCACAGTAAACAAACTCGTTAGTAGCATAAGCGGTATAAAATGAAGGGAATTGCAACGGTTAAAACATGTGTCAGTAAGTAAAAATGAAATTGTGTACTGCATATGAATAAATGAATATTTACACAAATCAAAATCAAGAATTCATGATATTGCTCAATGTAAACACAAAAAATCAGCATTACACACATTATTTGAAATGTATCAAAAGCAACTGCTATTTCGAACACAACGGAAAACAAAAATCCAAAGTTCACTTTGCAACATGAGAAATTGAATTCAAAGCATGAACCAAACAAATGATGATTATCCAACAATTTAAATTCACAAACAAAGCCAAAGAAACTCATGCCATAATTCAATTCAATCCATGAAAAATCAAACATTATCAAACATCATCAAAAGTTAGACAACAACAAATTATGGATAAAAGCTCATGAAATTCAATTTCCAGGTGATTCTAAACATATGTACAAACACCAATATTAAACCAACAAACCTTGTAAATTGATTTCAACTTGAAACATAATCAAAACCATTCTTTAAAATCACTAAAACAGCATGATAACATCAACACCGACAATTCAAAATTATGCCAAAATTACGTTAAGCTCAAAAAGTGATGAAAATAAGTTTTGAATCAATGTTTCGGCGAGGTATAAATTCGGATAGCAACCAACACAAATTGTTAACACTCGATAAAAACACCTCAAAAGGATTCAAAACTCATAAGAAAATCAGGTGATGCACCAACCAGTTTAACCTTATCATTAGACTTGACATAAACAAATTAATCACAATTTCAATTCGATGCAGATAATATCACATAGAAGCTCATTATCACATTACTTACATAATATCAACACTCTTGTATTGCATTTGTATCGCTCTATCATACACATGGCACTTTTTTTTTAAATATTCAGTAATATTATGCAGCACATTTGCACATTGCTTACTAACACTACAGCACTGCACACTCACAACTTACTAAATCAAGCTCTTTATACCTCAGTACATATGACGCTTCACTAATTACATGTGTAATAGCTGCAATTATTTATTACAACACATACTGAATTAGCTAAATCAAAGCTAGCATTACAACTCAGCATAGTCATATATTTACAGACTCAAATGATTTCCAAATACAAATTAGTACAAACTTATGAAGTTTCCAATTGAACCGTTAAGACATAAATCATGACAAACCTCAAGTGCATTAAATCAGAACTTCATGAATGAACAAATTCAGTTATGCTTAAATGACTTGGAGATTTTAACAGATTATTCACAAATCAACATAACATATTTACTAATAACAATCTATTAACAAGTTGTTCATAACAAAACTCCAAGAACAAGTCAGACCAAAAAAACAGACATGATGCTTTTACTAGATTCAATCCTCATTCCAAATAATCAGATCAAGCATTAACACTAACCTAAAGCATGAGAGTTATCAATTCAAATCAAAAAAAAAATATTAAAACAAGTAGCCATCCAATTCCGAACTGAACACAAATAATTTATCCGTACAACAGTCATTCGTACCTGTCGAGCACAGCAGTAGAGTTGTAGTGGTGTTGGATATTTTATGCCAAAGCTTGGAGTTTTTGCCGTGTTCTCTGGTGACGACGACTTTGGGAGTGAGATTGGAAGTGGTAGCGAAAGTGAAAGTGGAATTAGAATCGGTGGCGGAAGAAGCGGGATGAGCGATTGGTTGAGAAACGGTGGAGAATGGTTGCCGGTGAAGCTGAAGACAAGGAGAGGGAATCGGACAGGGTGAGGTTACGGTGAGGATGGTTGGGAGAAAGATTGAATGGTGAATGGAGTTTGGTGAGTTGGTTACGATGAAGGTGAAGGGAATTAGGTGGTGCTTTGAAGGTTGGGTATGGTGATTTGCTGGATTTGAACAGAGGAGGTGAAGGTGGAACCGGGTTGAAGAAATAGGCGGAGGGGTGGATCGGTGGAAGATAGTTGGTAATTTGAAGAAGTGGAAGGAGATGTAGTTTGCGGAAAATTAGGATGGAAGGGAGTATGAAGATTGAACGATGGATAGAGGTTGAAGAAGGGGGATGGCGTGTGCTAGCAAGAGAGAGTGAAAGGTAGAGTGGGGAGAGTTGAGAGAAAAGGGAAATATTTACTGTTAATGCTTTTTTTGTATGTTATTTGTTTTTGTTTTTGTTGGTTCTCCTTTACAAAGAGAATATGGGTCCTTTAAATAGGAAAACGAAGAGAGAGAAAAAATGATTTGATTTGCAATTTCGTTTGGTAAATTTCTGTATCTATCCGCAACTATTGACAACAACCAATAGGAAAAAAGCAAAGTATAATCAACAATTTTTATGACCAAAAAGCCCCTGAATGACAAAAATAAAATAAAACCTGAAAATATAAAAAATAACTCAATTTAAAATAATTTTTTTGAATTTTTTCTGAATTAAAAATAAAGACACAAAATGACCGAAAACGATAAAAAACGGACGAAAATTTATCCGATAAAACAAAATGAACATATTAAAATAAACTACATGTCACGAAGATTAAAGAAAAAATATTCAAGAAGTCAAAAATCAAAAATAAAATAATAATAAAAATATCAGACTAAACAGACGTTTAAGGTTAAAAACGAGACTTCGAACTGTACCGAAAAAATAAAGCGAGCATACCGTCATAATCTACGCGAAACGCAGATTCATAAAATGATCGGTAAAAGGCGAAAACTTGAAATATTTTCTCGCTACTTTCCCGTATAGTGTCGAATCGCTTTTAACAATTTGTCTATAAAACCGAAATATTTTTATTATTCAACATATAAATAACTTGGAGCAATGCAATAAAATAGTGAACAGGTAAAAATGAATGATGTGAAACGCCGGGTATTTTACAACTGAAAGACGATGCAAACTTTGATTTAAACTGACTTTTTCTGATCAACTTAAATACGACTAATGATGCAAAATGTGATGAATGAAGATATTTACTAATGATCGTGACCAAATAACAAAATATGATATGAAAGTGCGACTAAAACATATTAGGGGCGAAATTTAGGGTGCAACAGTTGTGCCTTGATGAATCAGTCTTCGAGAATCCACAATCAACCATACTTTTGGCTTGGGAGACTCAAAACCTTAATTGAGGCGCGACACCTGATGCTCTTGATTCAGACCTGTCTCTGCACATGACACAAAAGAAAACATGAACATACATCTTTGTATGCGATTAGAAATTAGTGATACATAGGCTAAAAATGTTCAAAACACTTGACAATCTTCGCATAGTCAAAGCTCGAAAGTGAGAGGTTAAAACCAACCGTATTTCGTGACCTTGACTTATCTTAAAAAATGCAAAAACAAAAATGGGATCTTAGGTCAAAAATTGGGGTACAACACATAGGTATATAAAATACATCAAGTGTGTGAAAAAACATGAAAATGCTTATTATGATCTATTTATAGACACTTCTGATAGAATACATGATTCAATATTTGACATACGACAATGTTCTACACACAATAGCGTATGTAATGTGATGACAATGTTCGCCAATCATGTTCGATACATTCCAGTGGTGTTCTACCCTTCGCAGTTTTCAATAAGCAAAAGTTGTGTTCTACACTAAGATCGTGTTAGACACACTACAATGTTCTACACACA